TATATACATACACACACACACACACACACACACAACACACACACACACACATACAACACACACACACACACACATATATATATATATATATATATATACTTGTATACATGTGTCCTATTCTCAGTGAGAATTCTTGGTGAGATAATTTTGTACGTGAATTTGATGACGTTGAAACTGTACGTGTGAAGATCAATAAGTACTAAGAGTTACGCTTTCGAATTTCGTATAAACATGTTCTGCGTTGACTAGCGTGAGGACACCGCAAACGACTTCTCGATCAGGTTATGAATTACTACCTTTATAACATCCGACAAATTATGCAACTAGCATCTATTACATGTACGTGTGAGTAATATCAATACACCTCTACACACAACACGACCAGTCTTTGCATTGTACGTTGTACCTTTGAACGGACACAAAACATGCACCATTAAACTTACCGGCATGAGGTCAAAGTTCTCTTGCAGAGTCACAAACAACAGAACCGTCTGCACGCCACAATAGAGGACGAATAGAATGTCTCGCATATACGGCATGTGTGTGTGCTCATTTGCTTGTTCATTACTATTAGACTCTGCCTTCACTGCAGTCGCCAGGTGTCTCCGCTGTACGTGATATTGATGCTTCAGACCGCCGAGCTGCACCTGTCTTCCCAAAAACGTGGTATATAGCCTAACATTGCCCGTTTTTCCTGATTGTGTTATGTTTGTGTACAGTGATCGTGAACGAGTGATAGGGACACATGGGCTTGATATTGAGCGTGATTGTGTTCGAGTATACAACACTTGGGTAGGATGTCGGGACGAAAAGACTCTAGATACCGCCAAGCTTATCATTCGAAGCCTGCCTCCAAATACAGGCCTTAACAGAGACAGTGTTTCTCTCATTACGACTATACAGATACAACTATGCACAAACACAGTTGCACACAGACTGTTCTAAATTCTGGTCTAGATTGTAGTATAATTGCCTGTCGATAGGAATGTGGTTGTTGAATAATACATACATAATGCAAAATATATAAATATGTAGCCGAATTTAGCAATGCACGTATGCACCGGTACTCGTTAAACGTTTAAAATCAACCTTTTGCGATTTAGGTAAACATTTTTCCTTTTAATTTAACAGTACCTATGGGATATCAATTGAGGGAGCTTCTTAACTTTTTACGTTGATAAACGCATAAAATTATAACGTTTGCAAAACGAAATGACGTTGATGGGCGAATGCCTTATACATTGAAGTTAGGATGGGGAGTGTCGTTTTCATTGGCGTTAGGATGAGCGAGTGTCACATAAATACATTGACGCTAAATACACATAATATGTAGAGGATGGGCGGGTGTCAACTGTCATACACATGTCACACGTCAAAATGCCACAGAAATAGTTTTATTTTCACTTTCAGTCTGACATCATAAATAAATGAGTCCAATGACCTCACGAAAATACAGGGGTAAAAATAAATTTCATAACCCTCTCAAGTATTTATTTAAGACGAGATTATAAGACCAAGGATATTTTTGTGTAGTGATGAACTATTGATAACCTGTGATCGGATGTGTTGTGTTCACCTTCATGTATTCACCTAAATGTATATCACACGAGAGCAGCTACAACAATAGGCTGCGGAAATGAATGAGCAGTAGAGTGGCTACATACTGCACCATCAAGGGCTGTGCAGTGGCTTGGTAACTCTGTCAAGGCCAGATAGTGCCTACTGGCAACACAACACCTTAGTATCACGAAAGTGGTATAAACTACTGATCTCAATGCGAGAACTATTTCATTCCCTTTGAAATATCTAGTGCGGAAGTATATTAGAATTATCTGCTAGCAGTACAAGGACTCCCACAGTAGTCCTGGATAGACTATCGGAAGTCTAATTCCAACGGAAACCCAAGATGAGCTTTGTCGAGCAACCTTCGCTGACCAGAAGACAACGGTTCTCATTGCTATTGCTTGAACCCAGTGAGATATACTTCGAGGACTACAGCGTATTCTGTGAGACCATTGCAGATGGCGAGGATGACAGGTGTGGTACAGTGTATGTATTCTGCTAGTTGTTGTATATGTATTATGCTATTATTGTATGTGTAGTATGCAAGTTATTGTATATGTATTATGCTATGATTATACATGTAATATGCTAGTTATTGTATATGTATTAAACTATTATTGTATATTTAATATGCTAGTTATTGTATATGTATTATGCCATTATTGTATATGTATTATGCTATTATATGTATATGTAATATGCTAGTTATTGTATATGTATTATGCTATTATTAGTTATTGTATATGTATTATGCTGTCATTGTATATGTAATATGCTAGTTATTGCATATGTATTATGTTATCATTGTATATGTAATATACTGGTTATTATATATGAATTATGCTATTATTGTATATATATTATGCTATTGTTGTATACGTAATGTGCTAGTTATTGTGTATGTATTATGCTAGTTATTGAATACGTATCATGCTATTATTGTCTTTGTATTATGCCAATTATTGTATATGTATTATGCTAGTTATTGCATAAGTATTATGCTATCATTGCATATGTAATATGCTGGTTATTATATATGTATTATGCTATCATTGTATATGGAATAGGCTGGTTATTATATATGTATTATGCTATTATTGTATATGTAATATGCTAGTTATTGTGTATTTATTATGCTAGTGGTGTTTGCTTAGGTGTTTATCTGTGCATCGTAGGTTTAGAAAAATCCGGACGAAATGCTATGGTGCATGCTACAAAACATATACTTCCCTATTACGGTACTGGAGTATTCACGGCTTTGCTTGATTAGGCCTAGTTCACATTAAAATCACAGCATAAACCTATGGACTCGCATCAAAGGTGAATGCGTGCAACACTTCATAGGGTTGCTATGCATGTGTTTATGTATATGGATTTAGGTGTTTCCACAAGTATAGGCATCAATGGGTTGCATGGTATGTACATACCGATCTAGTTCAAGAGTGCGGGAAGTCGGGGTACCCGCGTACATGGATGTGTGTTGCAGTTGTGGACCGTGTTCTAAGCATGAGAGTAAGTGTCTGCCGATCTCGCAGACTATAACTATACTTACATTTGGTTTGTATCGCATATTGATGTATTGTACAGTAGTGTTACGAGTTTTTATGAATCTTGCGTATCGTTGTAGAGATATCCGTGCATATGGAACAATCGCCATGTATTCAAGAATACACACACCGTTCTGTATGTGTAGGTGTGTATGTATGCCAAATCCATCTTCTATACAGATGTGTTTTTGTTTTGGCGTGTGCTGTGTTATACTGAGGTAACTTTGGCTTCTGTAGCATTTCTAAGGCACCGAGCCTATTCAGGCGGTGTGAACATATTTCCATAATTGCTAAGCGACTTTTCTCGTCAGTAGTGATTGTTATTATAATTTTCTGTCTGAAATATACATGTTATATCCACAGCTGTACGTCTATAGATATTAGTTTGTGTCAAGGACAATCTAGAGGAATATGTCATATGTTGGAGTGTATAGCTATTCCTACATATGAAGACGATGCATATATATATATATATATATATATGAATGTATATATATATATATATATATATATATATATATATATATTTATATATATATATATATATATATATACATATATATATATATATATATACACACACACACACACACACACACACACACACACACACACACACACACACATATATATATATATATATATATATATATATTATTTTCAGCTCCACACACGTATATTCAAGTGAATGTCCACGAAAGTCTTTACATACGGGGAAGATATACATTGGTGTATGCGTATCAGTTTGCATCATTCCTAAGCCCTTTCAATAATAGGTTGTACAATCCACACCCGCACATGGTCCCCTATTTGTTCGTAACCAATTTGGCCGATACTTATCACTGCGATTGTTGGTGAACTCGTTTTGCTGAGCTCAGTTGTTGCACTATAGAGTTTCTGGCGATTCACACCATGTGTACACCTACGCATGCCCACACCCGTGCTTGTTTCCCTGTTCGTCCGTGTACATTCAAATAGTTATGCTTCTCAGCCGTTGTGGGCGTGATCATATACCTGGGCTCAATTGTTACACAGAAGCATTCGTGATGAGTCACATCCGGATCATATACGCAGCCTGATGGACGGTCTTCCATTGTGCTGGATACGGTTTACATTTTTTAATAGTATTAACGTTGAATGAAATCAAAACCAATAAGTGTGTCTATCCTCACCTACTGTATCGCTATACAGGAGGGAGAAGGGCCGACTGAAGATCTGTTCGAAGTCGGTGGTCTTCGACCCGTTAGACATACAGCGCCCTGTACTTCGGATTCCGTTCCGGTTCATCACGCAGCTGTATAAAACAAAGCCAGATAAGGTAGGCTGTCGATTCGACTGGTGTATTGGTGGTCCAGGGGTTTAAACCCTAAAAGGCAGAGTGAAGCCATAACCCCTAAACCATAAGCTATAAACCCTAAACCTTATGCCAATAACTATATCCTGCACTCTGAAATGCTATCATCCCTCGCAACCGCTATAAATGGGAGAGAAGGGAGTATCGCGGCCGTCGTGGAATGAATCATAAATCCTATCATGTACTCTATTTATGGCAAGTGCTCGTGAATTTCTAGGAATATTCAAATTACTCATACACACACTACACATGTGTCTATAGAGACTCCTTCCATTCCTCCTCGCCGCTTGTGACTACAAGAGCAATGTATAAGTTGTTTTACATTATATATATATATATATATATACTATATATATATATATATATATATATATATATATATATATATATATATATATATATATATATATATATATA